AATACAAACTTTTTGCAAAATTCTGTGTCTGTTTTCAGCCTTTCACCAAGCAATTCCATCCCTAGCTATCAATACCCAGGAAAAACGAGTATGTGTCTTCACAGAAAGAAGTCTACAAGAATATTTTCAGTTACTTATGCATAGTAGCCAACAAGTAAACCTGTCTACCATCACAAAAGTGGATATCAAACTGTGTGATAATTATACATTAAATAGGATATTTCTAGGCCAAAACAAAATGAAAGAAAAACACAGTCAAACAAATTAGTAGCATATATATCCAACTGATTAAAAGAAGTCAAAACAAGAGAAGATACTGAATGATTTCACTGTTATGAAGCACAAAAATAAGCAAAATTAATCTGCTGTGGCTGCTATAGTTTCGATATTTGTCCCCACCCAATCTCATGTTGAAATTTGATCCCCAATGTTGGAAGTGGGGCTTAATGGGAGGTGTTTGGGTCATGGGAGTGGATCCCCATGAATAGATTAACCCCCTCCCTCGGAGAAGGTAGTGAGTGAATTCTCTCTCTATTAGTTCCTACAAGAGCTGGTTATTAAAAAGAGCCTTGCACTTTTCCTCTCTCCTTTGCTTCCTCTCTCACCATATGATCTTTGCACACACTGGTTCCCTTTCATCTTCTGCCCCGTGGGGGAAGCAGCTTCAGGCCCTCATGAAGAGCAGTTGTTGGTGCCATTCTTCTTGTGCAGCCTACAGAACTAGGAGCGAAATACATCTCTTTTCTTTATAAATGACCCAGCCTCTGGTATTCCTTTATAGCAACACAAAGGGACAAAAGGACTAACATAGTGACAAAATTTAGAATATATTCTTCATTTGGGGGATGAATATTGACTGGCAAGGAGCACGTCAGAACTTTAGGGCATAGAACAAAATGTTCCCACACTTGATCTGGGTGTTATTATGTAAGTTACAATTATATTAAAAGTCATTAATCTGTACCCTTTGGTTTTTTTGTAGTTTCCTCCATACAAATTATATCTTTGTGAATAGCTGGTAGCATTAAAAACAGTGACAGATGACAAACACTCAAAAAAGTAAAAACTGACAGAAGATAGATAACAAATATTCAGCAGATAAATAATAGGGATCCCTTGAGAAAAAGAAAATAGAAAAACAATGGAATAGAACAAACAATAAAAAGTTTTATTTTAAAAAAAGAGTTTGACATTTAAAAGTTTGAAATAATATTAAAGTGACACACCGTTTCCTTGGAAAAACAATGCAGAACCACAAACTCTGAGAATTACTCTAGCAAAAGTACTGTCATTCAGTTCCATCTACTGGTATGAGGTTAGCTTCGAAGGCCAAAAGAAACTAGTTTCTAATTCTTATTCTTCTCCCCACAACATTTGTGGCCTAGGGTTATTTTATAATCTTTCTGAGTCTGTTTTCCCATCAGGAGCAGGACAATACCTAAGTAATAGATGATATATAGAAGTAAATATGATCTCATAGCAGTGGACATCAACCTTAATTATTAAGAATATATTTACATTGAGCTTACCTTTATCTACTTTAAAATTGCAGACAAACAACAATTGACAAAGAATAGATAAAATGCTTTAACATAAATATTCTCCCTTCTTTCTAGGAAGAAGTCGCACATACAGTAAAAATAATTAGAGAGGACCCACTTCATATGGAACAATCTTCCCCAAACCCTGAAATAGGCCTGCTTTCTAACACCAGAGATGAACTCAGTCTATTCCAGACAGAGGGGCTTGTGGGGGCTGGACCCCCTGCAGTCCTGTCTGCCTGGAATAGACTAAGATAGTCTGCTCCAGCCTTACAACAGCATGGGCTGCCAAGTGTTCTCACAGAGGCTCTCCACTTAAGCTCTAGATGTCCTGAGGAATACGTGCATGGGGGTTAGGTTAAGGCCAGCTGAATCACATGTTCAGGACTATCATCAGCATCAAAGTCAGTGGAAGGATGCCAGTCCCCAGAGCTCTGTTCCAAGCCATGGGATGCTCCAAGGAGGGGCCTTGGGCATGTGAATACCAATCAGGAGAAATATCGGTAATAGACAAGAGGCATAAATAAACAATGTCCATCCTCCACTAAAACCCAGAAGAGTTCTCATTCCAAAAACGATGTGTCTTCAAGAAAACAAAGGTACACATCTTTGTGACTCTGGATTAGACATTTCTGAAGTAGGCACAAGCAACCCCAAAATAGAAAGATAAATGTTCTTCATTAAAATAAAAAATCATTCATGCTTCCAAGGACTCTGCCAAGGAAGTGAAAAGATAATCCATACAATGCAAGAATTATTTGCAAATCATATGCCCAACAAGTGTCTAGTATCTACAGTATATAAAGAATTCATATAAGTGAGCAAAAAAGACAATTTAAAAATGGGAAAAGTTTCAATAGACATTTCTGTAAAGGATACATACAAATGGCCAACAAGCACATACAGCGATGTTCAATGTTTTTCCTCATGAGGAAAATGTAAACTTAAATCAAAATGAGATACCATTTCAGACCCACAAGAGTGACGTTAACAAAAACACAACATATGTTTGGAAAGTTATGGGGAAAATGGAATTCTCATATATTACTATTGGGAATGTAAAATGCTGTAGCCACCAAGACTGGAAAACAGTCTGTCAGTTAATCAAAAACTTAAACATAAAGTCATGTATGATGCAGCAATTGCACTCCTAGGTATATAACCAAGAAAATTAAAATCAGATGTTCACTCAAAAACATGTAAAAAGATGTTCATAGCTGCATTATTCATAATAGTGAAAAGGTGGAAACATTCCAAACCACCATCAGTTGATGAACAGGTAAACAAAATGTGGTATAACTATAAAATGGAATGTCATTTGGCCACAAAAAGGATTGAAGTACAGATGCATGCTACAACAAGGATGAACCTTGACAGCATTGTCCTAAGTAAGAGATGCAGATGCAAAAGTTGATGCTGCATTATTCTATATACAGGAAATGCCCAGACAAGTGTATCTATATAGAGAGAAGGTAGATTAGAGTTTGTCAGGGACGGCAAAAATGCGGGATTTCGAGAGTGACTGCCAGTAAGTACAGGCATACTTTCCGGCATTATGAAAGTATACTGATATTAGGTAGTGGTGATGGCTGCAAAACCTTTGATACATAGTAAAAGACGCTGAATGGTATGCATAAAAATGGTGAATTTTGTGAAATATGAATTATACTTTAGAAGTAATAATAATAACAACAGTAATACAGAGAGGTATCTTTCCACATCTCCATGCCCTATATTTTTATTAAAAAAAAAAAAAAAAGCTTTTTAGGACCAGGATCAGTGGCTCACTCCTCTAATTTCAGCAATTTTGGAGGCCTAAGTGGGAGTATTGTTTGAGGCCAGAAGTTCGAGAGCAGCCTGAGCAACATAGCAAGACCTCATCTCTACAAAAAATAAAAAAAATTAGCCAGAATGGTGATGTGTGCATAGACTTCCAGCTACTTGGGAAGTTCGGACAGGAGGATCACGTAAGCCCAGGAGTTTGAGGTAGCAGTGAGCAATGATCACTACTGCACTTCAGCCTGAGTAACAGGATGAGACCCTGTCTCAAAAAGAGGCATGTCACATAGTAAGTGGCCAGAATAGGTTGCTGACAGCATGTTGAGAGGAAATGTATTAGATGAAACAAATTAAATCCAACACATTTTTTTGAGGCAGGGGGCAGAAATGCGGTACAGGGGAGAGAAACACTTACTTGGAAAGAAACCACACAACTGAATTGGAAAACTTGGAATGGGGCTTGTGGGAGGGGGACTCTACCTGAGATCTGGCTCCAGTACTTACAGCAAAGGGAACTTGGGTGAGTTACAGACTCTCTGTGCCTTGGTTTCTTCATCAGCAAAACAGAATCATCCCATCAACTGTAAGGTCCGTGGTATCAGAGGGTCCCCAAACGGACTGCACATCTGAGTCATGTTAACAAACACATTCCAGGCCCCACCTGAGCGCACTGAATCACAATCCCTGCAAGGAGGACACTGGACTTGTATTTGCACCGACCTTCCCAAGTGTTTCTTACTCTGACTAACTTGGGGGTGGAAAAAACACTGGGATGCATTACATCATTCCAAAGCCCAAACACAAAAGTAGAACAAGAATATATTCAATGCAGTCTCTTAAAGTGGAGAAAATTCTTGGGGGAACCTAGAATTGGAGGAAACCTGCCTTGCTGCTCTCCATCTTAACTGTACCCTGAGTACGGCAGAGACACGAGCCGTTCAGGACACATGCCTGAGGCAGTGACAGTCCAACTTTGGAACAGTGGAAGCCCTAGTTTTGAATTCCAGTTTGCATTGGGTAGAAATTAAGTTTACGTCTTTTTGTACAGCAACAAGGCCAGTCTTCTGCAAGCCGCTCACCTTACAAGGAAAAAAAAAAAAATCATACTACCAAGAATTCAAACTTCAGCAGACATGGGTAAGTAAGGAAGTCTTATAAACCTGTTCTAGCCACCGAAAAAGAAACCAGAAATTTAGCAATTCTTTCACATTCAGGACAATTGTGTTCACTAGATTAGAGGCACTGAGACATGAAGAAAAGACCTCCTAAAAAGGGAAAGCATTCCTTCCTGCCCTAGGACATCCCTGCCAACTTCAGGGAGGTGGGAACCCTGCTGCACTCTCTACAGTATGTGTTGCTTTTGTGTCTGGAAGGTGTCTGACATCCTGGGATCTGAACCCATTTCAGGGAGCTCTGGGAAGAGGCCGAAACACTGATGGAATTGTACAGTGCATGGAAATGGTTCAGTAGGACGAGGGTAAGTGCAGAAGCATGGCCAGGTCATACCGAGAGACAATGAGTGGCACTGATGGGGACAAAGATTAAGAACAAAAGTTTGTGCTTCAACTTCAGAAACTCAAACCAATAACTAATTTGCTCTTATAAGTAATAAGAAGCATTTTTCTATTTACATAAGAATTTAATCTCAAAACAGAAATCAGAAAAAAATATCCAGGGCATAAAACCTAAACCATAGCTTATATTTCTTCTTCCTAAATGAGCTAAGAGTAAAATCTTCTCCATAAAATATATATTGTGGTTATAACAAGGCAAAAGTTTTAGTGAGAATCATTGGTATTCAATAGAAGAGTGAAATAAATACAGCCAAGGGAAGACCCAGGTGTCATACTTCTCTTGTATATTCCAAAGTTCCAGTGAAATTCCAGGTAATAGAGGTTATTTCCCGCACTGTTAAAGCGAGGTTACAGACACTTCTGAATTTTGTCCCAGTGCTGAAGGAGGGCACACCTCTGTCCTGGAAAATGACACAGGGATGAATTCTCTTCCCATGACTCATTCTGGTCATTATTCCAGCATCACAGAAACCAAAAAATAGGAATACAGCCAAATACATGATTTGCTATCCCTCGTCTTCAGATTTCTTGCCTGTTTCTTATGGATAATAACTGCCTTAAGGATTATGATGAAAATATGATATCCAAGTATGTGTACAGTGTTGAACAAAATGCCTAGTACAAATTGGTCAATAAATAATTATGTGACTACTGAATTACATGGATTCTATAAATAACTAATAAATAATTATTGTGATTCCTTTTATTGGCAGTGCTCAAAACTCATCCCTGTGTGACCTCAAGTAAACCACGTAACTTTCTGAACCTGCAGTTTCATCATTTTTAAAATGAAGAAACTAGACAGATTTTCATTTTGACACAGAATGTCAGGTTTTTGAGACACCAGAGAATAGATAAATTTACAGCTTTTAATACATCTGAAAGCACTGTCATTACACAGTGAAGTTGGAGGATGGTGCGAGCTGCTGAGAGGCGCACTTTCCAATGGGATTGATCCAGTCCTCCTCCCTTCACTTTCACGTGAATGTTGGGTAGCCCATGGTCACACTCATCATGCCCTCAACTCAGGCAAGTCCAACAGCCACACTTAGGAGACCTGGGCTACAGGACAAACTCCCAAGTCCTAGCCTCACAAAACTTAGTTGAGGATGGAAGCTGAGAAAGCGAGGAGGTGGTTCGGGGAAGCACGCTCCCCTACTCGACCCTCTCATCTCAAACTCACCTTCTGCTGCACAGGAACACTGAGGATCACCAACTATCCCTGATCATGAGCTTAATCTTGTCAGGTTCTGTTAGTGTAATGCAACCACACATCAACGGTGTTAGAGCAACTCAATATATATATATGTATATATCCAATAATATTCTCTGAGAAGCGTTCCAGGCCCTGTTCTTTTCAATATATGGGAAAACTAAAAACAACAAAATAGCATCAGGTTTACAAGACTCCCCAAGATACATGGTCACATATGTTTTCAGGGGATATATACAAATGACTATGATCACTTGATTCCTTGAAAAGAGCTCTTGTGGAACCAGAATGATAACTGTTAAATGACAAGTATGAAACGAGTATCCAGTGACATTAAAAAAACAAACCAACCTACACAAAGAGGAAAAGCTACAGATGTGGGGATGTGAAACTGGTCTTAAGCATAATGAAAAGACAAGATGCTGCCCCAGTAAGAGAAAAGAAATCAACATAACAGTGGGAAGCAGCAAGAGGAATAATGATCCAGGAGAGAAAATATTTTCTAAAAATGAATTATTCATTCACTTTTCAGTAGCTACAAAAAAAAAATGCAGAAGATCCAGGGCATATTACGGCAGTCTAAAAGTCTGATATCTTTCACATGTGGAAAAGCCTTAAGATCTGATTCAACTTAGAGAAAGTAGAGTGACTTCGGGACAACCGCTAAGAAAATATAACCTTTTGGGAAACTCTCTCTACCTTGATGATTTTATACACACAAGAGATGAGCAATGAGAACATGCTTAGATGTATTGGGAAAGAGGTGGACCTATAGCATTGTCACAAGGGTGCACAAATACTCAGAGTGACTGCTGAAGAAATGGTCCCCATCAGTGACCCTCAGATGAGACCAGGGAGCCTAGTGTTTCAGAACATCCTGGGCAACTGGAATGCAGGGCTCCTAAGATTCCATGACACTCCCACCTTCTAATTCTGTTATTGCAACTGCAGACCGTTACCTGGCACGCTAGCTGCTACCTCCCTCACTCTTGTCAGAGTCGGAGCTTTAGGCAGTGCCTTCAACTCTGAGCTCAGGCATCCTGGACCCTGTTTTTGCGGTTAAGGACTCTAAAGTGTTGTGGGGTGTTGATCAAGTTTTTCTCAACCGTAAGTTAACAATTCCAGTTATTGTCATCTCTCAGTCCTGATGAAACCTAACTGATCTCAGTAGTTTTTGACACATCATGTGTTTGGGTTTCTTCTCCCCAGTCCCTGGCGCTACCTCTTCTGCCACAAACGTCAGCATGGTGGTATCTGCCGACCCTTTGTCCGGCGAGAGGGCAGAGATGAACATCCTAGAAATCAACAAGGAATTGCGCTCCCAGCTGGCAGAGAGCAATCAGCAGTTCCGAGACCTCAAAGAGAAATTCCTTATAACTCAAGCTACTGCCTACTCCCTGGCCAACCAGCTGAAGAAATACAGTAAGTTCTATAGATTCACCAT